TACTGAGGATCGAATGATGAACTTGATAGGAACCTTCTGTGCCTGTGCAGATGTTTAATAATAGCTGGCATCAGTGCTGGGCACCAAATGCTCAGCTGCTCCGACAGCCCCGAGGCACTGGCACTTTCCCCTCCTGCTCTGGGCGCAGAGACTGGGGATTGGGCTCTGCTGCTGGCCATGGTTGCACAGCTAGTAAGTGCTGGAGGAGCCTCCAAGAACTGAGGCCTCTGACTCAGAAGCACGCATGCTTCCCACAGCGGCACTTGTTTCAGAGAATAGGATTTCTCCCAAGTGGGAGTATTTTTAAGGAACAAGCCACAGTTCCTCCTTTATGTGATCCCTGGAGAAGTGATCGTGTTCATGTCTGAGTACAGGACTGCCAGAGATAGCCGTCACCAGTAGGCCAGGGTGCCCACCTTGGCGATGCTGCCAACAGCTGTCCTGTTGGACTGTGACACTTGTCAGGTACTGGGAACATTGAAACTTATTTGAGAAGGTGTTTTGTCTGTCTTTTTTTTTTTTTTTTTTTGATAACCAATTGCCAGTGTTATGGATTTTTTTTTTTTTTTTTTTCTGAGACGGAGTCTTACCGTGTCACCCAGGCTGGAGTGCAGTGGCGCGATCTCTGCTCACTGCAAGCTCCACCTCCTGGGTTCACGCCATTCTCCGGCCTCAGCCTCCCAAGTAGCTGGGACTACAGGTGCCCGCCACAATGCCCAGCTAATTTTTTGTATTTTTAGTAGAGACAGGGTTTCACCGTGGTCTTGATCTCCTGACCTCGTGATCCACCCACCTTGGCCTCCCAAAGTGCTGAGATTACAGGCGTGAGCCACCGCGCCTGGCCTGTTGTGGAATTTTTTTAAAAACTTCTGACCTTTAGCATACATACATTTTCTCTCCAAGCTCTGTGTGTTGATGCTCTTATTTTCCTCTTTACCAAAATTGCCTTCTGAGCATAAGTTTAATAACTCAGAATTCCTGGGTCTCTCCAGACTAATGCAGGCATCTTGTGCTGCCAGAGCTCACTTTACATTTATTTTAATAATATTTCTGTGTTTTCCTCTGAAAGCTGAGACCTGGCCGGGCATGGTGGCTTAACGCCTGTGATCCCAGCACTTTGTGAGGCCGAGGCAGGTGGATCACTTGAGGTGAGGAGGTGGAGACCAGCCTGGCCAACATGGCAAAACCCTGTCTTCCCTGTCTCTACTAAAAATACAGAAAGTAGCCAGACGTGGTGGTACAAACCTGTAGTCCCAACTACTCAGGAGACTGAGGCACGAGAATCACTTGAGCCTGGGAGGTGGAGGGCTGCGGCCCTCCAGCCTTGGCAAGAGTGGGGAGACTCAGTCTCTAAAAAATAAAAATAAAAAAGCTGAAACCTTCAGCATATGTACTAAGTTGAAAGAAAATTGCATAATTGAAAAACTACTTAGTTTGAAGTATTTCCTAATGAAATGCTTTGGGTCGGTAAAAAGTGTTTGAGAAAACTTATAAAAGGGCAGCTTAATAAAAAGCCGGCCTGTGGGTGCTCCCATGCGGGCACCTGGGTTGTCAGTGGTGGCTGTGAGCCCTGTGACTCCTCAGCTGAGGGCAGGGTGGGCAGTGGCCCTGTCCATGCTGAGCTCCCGTCAGTGTTAAGTCTCTGGTGTCTGCTGTGTCTGCCTGTCCACTGCTGCTTTCTTGCTGGCATCTGCTGCAGCTTCTGTGCACTCATCTGATCTCTCACAAGAGTGAGAATATTTTGTCTGTTTTTAGAAACTTTTACTATGTTGAAAATAAGTGATAGAATCTTCTCTAGATTCTCTAGATTCATTGGAAGTGCCGTTAGTATGATCCTGCCTGAGTGTTGCAGAGTGTGGGTTGAAAAACCAAGCAACGCAGACAGTAGGCTGGAGGTTTCCTTTCACGCCCTACTTTATTTCATTGTCCTGTAGCACCTTTTCTTTTTCTTTCTTTCTTTTTTCTTTTTTTTTTTTTTTTGAGACGGAGTCTCGCTCTGTCGCCCAGGCTGGAGTGCAGTGGCCGGATCTCAGCTCACTGCAAGCTCCGCCTCCCGGGTTTACGCCATTCTCCTGCCTCAGCCTCCCGAGTAGCTGGGACTACAGGCGCCCGCCACCTCGCCCGGCTATTTTTTTGTATTTTTTTTAGTAGAGACGAGGTTTCACCGTGTTAACCAGGATGGTCTCGATCTTCTGACCTCGTGATCCGCCCCTCTCGGCCTCCCAAAGTGCTGGGATTACAGGCTTGAGCCACCGCGCCCGGCTTTTTTCTTTTTTTTTTGAGACAGAGTTTTGCTCTTGTCACCCAGGCTGGAGTGCAGTGGCACGATCTTGACTCACTGCAACTTCTGCCTCCCTGGTTCAAGCGATTCTTCTACCTCAGCCTGCTGAGTAACTGGAATTACAGGCGCCTGCCACCATGCCCAGCTAATTTTTGTAGTTTTAGTAGAGACGGGGTTTCACCATGTTGATCAGGCTGGTCTTGAACTCCTGACTTTGTGGTCCACCCGCCTCAGCCTCCCACCAAAGTGCTGGGATTACAGGCGTGAGCTACCGTGCCTGGCAGCACCTTTTCTTTATGGACATAGATTTTGGTATTTCCTCTACCAAAGGGAAGATAGGTGGGACTTCTGGTTATACGCTTTGCTTTAGGCTTGAAGAATAGTTGCCCTAAAGATTTTATTTTGTGAAAGACCCAAGGTTGAAATGAGTTGGATTCGTTGGAATCCATCACTTTTCCAGGGACTAGGATTTTTTTTTTTTTTTTTTGAGACGGAGTCTTGCTCTGTCGCCCAGGCTGGAGTGCAGTGGCCGGATCTCAGCTCACTGCAAGCTCCACCTCCCGGGTTTACGCCATTCTTCTGCCTCAGCCTCCCGAGCAGCTGGGACTACAGGCGCCCGCCACCTCACCCGGCTAGTTTTTTGTATTTTTTAGTAGAGACGGGGTTTCACCATGTTAGCCAGGATGGTCTCGATCTCCTGACCTCGTGATCCGCCCATCTCGGCCTCCCAAAGTGCTGGGATTACAGGCTTGAGCCACTGCGCCCGGCCTGGGGGACTAGGATTTTAAATGAAAAGCTGAGCGTCCTGTGTTTCAGTATCTGCCCTCACAGCGTGCCTGAATTGCACTTACACTTAGGCGTGACAAATGAGAGCCAGGTGTGTGTGTGCTCACGCAGTGTGAGATCAGCCCGGGGGTGAGTGCTCACCGGACTGGCATACATGAGCTTGTGGCAGCAGAGACAAGTGAAAGCATGCCATTTTCTGCATGGTTCCCAGTGGTGGCAGATAGGTGTTTGGCTTTAGAACAGGCAAAACCACCTGTTTTCCAGTCTGTAATGAAAAAACTGTGTAATAACGTGCGATTTGTACAATTACCAGCGTCTCTACCATAGTGATCAGATTGCATTTGTTGCCAAACATCTTGATCAGGGAAGTGGGGTAAGAGAGGAAATATTTAGCAGTGACCACTGTCAAGCTGGCAAGACCTCTAGCGCTTCCATTCTGTCCCTTTGCTTCAGGAAGGGGAAGGGAAGCCACTCCACCGGATGTGCGGTGCTGTGAGGACCTTTCTGAAATTGGGCAAAGAGCTCAGCCCTTTGAGTCCATGAGAAATAAAACTGACCAGATGTTAAGTAGCAGGTCAGGACCACAGTGAAAGATCCTGCAGACTCTCCCTTGGATTTCTGCAGATGGGCGAGTCGTGCCTTCAAGGCACCACGTCTTACAGAGATCCTCTGAAAAAGGCCGAGCAGCGTATGCCTAGGATGACGCAGAAATTGACATGTGCCTTCTTGATAAGTGTTCTTTTTTTTTTTTTTTTGAGACGGAGTCTCGCTCTGTTGCCCAGGCTGGAGTGCAGTGGCCGGATCTCAGCTCACTGCAAGCTCCGCCTCCCGGGTCTACGCCATTCTCCTGCCTCAGCCTCCCGAGTAGCTGGGACTACAGGCGCCCGCCACCTCGCCCGGCTAGTTTTTTTGTATTTTTTTTTTTTTTTTTTTTTTTGAGACGGAGTCTCGCTCTGCCGCCCAGGCTGGAGTGCAGTGGCCGGATCTCAGCTCACTGCAAGCTCCGCCTCCCGGGTTCACGCCATTCTCCTGCCTCAGCCTCCCGAGTAGTTGGGACTACAGGCGCCCGCCACCGCGCCCGGCTAGTTTTTTGTATTTTTTAGTAGAGACGGGGTTTCACCGTGTTAGCCAGGATGGTCTCGATCTCCTGACCTCGTGATCCGCCCGTCTCGGCCTCCCAAAGTGCTGGGATTACAGGCTTGAGCCACCGCGCCCGGCCTTTTTTGTATTTTTTAGTAGAGACGGGGTTTCACTGTGTTAGCCAGGATGGTCTCGATCTCCTGACCTCGTGATCCGCCCGTCTCGGCCTCCCAAAGTGCTGGGATTACAGGCTTGAGCCACCGCGCCCGGCTTGATAAGTGTTCTGAAATAAAGCGCTAAATAGCAAAAGACTAGGCTGGCAAACTCAATCAGATGGGCTTAGAGATGACAATTCCAGAACAGTATCCGCAAGGGACAGGGCACCAGGTGAACTGGCCGCGTAATCCATGTGTCTGGTTCTTCATTGGATTTAAGAAACACAGTGGAGGCTGGGTGCAGTGACTCACGCCTATAATCCCAGCACTTTGGGTGGATCATCTGAGGTCAGGAGTTCAAGACCAGCCTGACCAGCATGGCAAAACCCTGTCACTACTAAAAACAGAAATTAGCTGGGTTTGGTGGCATGTGCCTGCAGTCCCAGCTACTTGGGAGGCTGAGGCAGGAGAATTGCTTGAACCTAGGAGGTGGGGGTTGCAGTGAGCTGAGGTTGCACCACTGCACTTCAGCCTGGTGACAGAGTGAGACTCGGTCTCAAAAAAAAAACAGAGAAACAGTGGAATCTTGTGGAATCTTGTAACAAAACCCATCACTGCTACAGCTGTGGAAACTGGGGATACTCAGTCGTGTTTTCTGGAGAGTTTTTGATGGTCTCTGTCTTCCCTGGAATTGACAGGCCTCACGCATTGTGCATCAGCAGCAATGTTTATAGTGAAAAATGGCAACGGGACCGCTTGCATAATGGCCAACTTCTCTGCTGCCTTCTCAGTGAACTACGACACCAAGAGTGGCCCTAAGGTAGGAAACACCAGGGCACTTCGTGCTTCCCTTGTGTGTGTGGAAAGATGATTTTTAACATTTCAACCAAGTCTTTGAAAAATGGCCCCATATAAACATGGTACTTTTCCTATCTGCGTATTTCCTTCTGGCGTTGTCAGTAACCTGTGTTGTCATGTGCCATAGCCACAGGCACGGTAACAAACTTCTATATGTGCTGCACCTCACCGTTTATCATGAACTTTTTTTTTTTTGAGACGGAGTCTCACTCTGTCGCCTATGCTGGAGTGCAGTGGCGCGATCTCCGCTCACTGCAAACTCTGCCTGCCGGGTTCATGCCATTCTCCTGCCTCAGCCTCCCGAGTAGCTGGGACTACAGGCACTCGCCACTACGCCCGGCTAATTTTTTGTATTTTTAGTAGAGTTGTGGTTTCACCATGTTAGCCAGGATGGTCTCGATCACCTGACCTCGTGATCCGCCCGCCTCAGCCTCCCAATGAACTGGGATTACAGGCATGAGTCACTGCGTCTGGCCTGTCATGAACATTTTTCTAGTTTTCTTTTTTTTCTTTTTTTGAGACGGAATCTCGCTTTGTCGTCCAGGCTGGAGTGCAGTGGCATGATCTGAGCTCACCACAACCTTGGCCGTCTCCTGGGTTCAAGCAGTTCTCCTGCTTAGCCTCCTGAGTAGCTGGAACTGCAGGTGCCCACCACCATGCCTGGCTGATTTTTGTATTTTTGGTAGAGATGGGGTTTCACCGTGTTGGCCAGGATGGTCTCAAACTCCTGACCTCAAGTGATCTGCCTGCCTCGGCCTCCCAAAGTGTTGGAATTACAGGGGTGAGCCACCGCTCCCAGCTCTAGTTTTCTTCATGATTGTCTTTTATGATCATAATGTAATACTTTATTATGTTAGTTCACCATAATTTGTTAACACACTCCCCTATCAGTAATTAAGTCTTGAATCTTTTTCATGCTCTGTGAATGTGACTTTGATTTATTTATTTTTTGAGACAGAGTCTCACTCTGTTGCCCAGGTTGGAGTGCAGTGGCGCAGTCTCGGTTCACTGCAAGCTCCGCCTCCCGCTTTCACGCCATTCTCCTGCCTCAGCCTCCTGAGTAGCTGGGACTACAGGCGCCTGCCACCTTGCCCGGCCAATTTTTTGTATTTTTAGTAGAGATGGGGTTTCACCGTGTTAGCCAGGATGGTCTCGATCTCCTGACCTTGTGATCCGCCCGCCTCAGCCTCCCAAAGTGCTGGGATTACAGGCGTGAGCCACCGCACCCGGCCTGATTTACTTTAGAGAAATTATTATACTCCAAGAAATGTATATAAATGGTTGTTTGACATGCAGTTCTACAAAGACTGTACTAGTTTGATTAAAATGTTCCTTAGTAGTTTTGTTGAAATGGCTTTGTGTTTATTTGGGATGATTAAAGCCTTTTGTAATAACAGAATATTTTAAAAATCCAAGACAGCGAGATCTTATCTCTTTAAAAAAAAAAAAAAAAGCCAGACATGGTGGAGCGTGCCTGTGATCGCAGCTACTTGGGAGGCTGAGGTGGGAGCATTGATTGAGCCTGTGTGGTCGAGGCTGCAGTGAGCTATGATCTTGCCACTGCACTCCAGCCTGGGTGACAGAGCAAGACCATCTCAAAAAAAAAAAAAAAGTCCAGTCTCAAATTTGACAAGTATGTCAAAGCCTTTTTTCTTTTTTCTGAGACAAAGTCAAACTCTGTCCCCCAGGCGGCTGGAGTACAGTGTCAAGATCTCGGCTTACTGTATCCTCCGCCTCCCAGGTTTGACTCAGTCTCGTGCCTCAGCCTCCTCAGTAGCTGGGACTACAGGTGCGTGCCACCATGGCCGGCTAATTATTTGTATTTTTAGTAGAGATGGGTTTCACTATGTTGGCCAGGCTGGTCTTAAACTCCTGGCCTCAAGTGATCCGCCCACCTTGGCCTCCCACAGTGCTGGGATTACAGGTGGGCCCTACTGTACCTGGCCTCCAAGCACTTTTTTTTTTTTTTTTTTTTTTTTGAGACGGAGTGTCGCTGTGTCGCCCAGGCTGGAGTGCAGTGGCCGGATCTCAGCTCACTGCAAGCTCTGCCTCCCGGGTTTTTACGCCATTCTCCCGCCTCAGCCTCCCGAGTAGCCGGGACTACAGGCGCCCGCCACCTCGCCCGGCTAGTTTTTTGTATTTTTTAGTAGAGACCGGGTTTCACCGTGTTAGCCAGGAAGGTCTCGAACTCCTGACCTCGTGATCCACCCGTCTCGGCCTCCCAAAGTGCTGGGATTACAGGCTTGAGCCACCGCGCCCGGCCTTTTTTTTTTTTTTTTGAGAGTTTTGCTCTTGTCACCCAGGCTGGAGTGCAGTGGTGCGGTCTTGGCTCACAGCAACCTCTGCCTCCTGGGTTCAAGCAATTCTCCTGCCTCAGCCTTCCGAGTAGCTGGGTTTACAGGCATGTGCCCAGCTAATTTTTGTATTTTTAGTAGAGATAGGGTTTCTCCACATTGGTCAGGCTGGTCTCGAACTTCTGACCTCAGGTGATCTGCCCACCTCGGCCTCCCAAAGTGCTGGGATTACAGGCGTGCCCCAACGTACCTGGTCTCCAAGCACTTTTTATTTAATTTCTACATCACTTTTTTAATGTTTGGTTTTGGTGGTTGGATTTTTAAAATATTTTGTTGTAAATTATGTTTCACAAATGAGGTCACCTTATGCTGTTATGCATGTCTTTATCACCTCTGTAGTTTCGTGGTGTTTTTTTGGCCCACATTAGTATACTGCTTCACTGTAGTTCATTTGACCTATCTGGTTTATTTTGATGAACATTAGGTGGTTTTCCAGTTGCTTGTTTTGCTTATAATAGTAAATTTAAACATTTCTGCTATGAACACTTCCTTTGTTTAAAGAAACATTATTTAAATGAATATTTCTATAGCAAAAAAGTAGTGATAGCTTTTCTCAAATATATATCTCACCCTGAAACCGGTTTGAATTATTTCAATTTCAAGACGCTTTAAATTCTGTTATATTAACAGAAAATTTATGGGGTTGTTTTGTTCTGTTTAGAGACAGGGTCTTGCTGTGTTGCCCAGGCTGGAGTGCAGTGGTGCAATCGTAGTTCACTGCAGCCTCAAACCTAGGCTCAAGCGATTCTCCTGCCTCAGCCTCCTGAGTAGCTGGGACTACAGGCAGATGCCACCACAATTAGTTTATTTTGTTTTTGTAGAGATGGGGTCTTGCTATGTTGCCCAGGCTGGTCTTGAACTCTTGGGCTCAAGTAGTCCCCCCACCTCAGCCTCCCAGAGTGTTGGGATTACACGCGTGAGCCACCGTGCCCAGCTGCAAATTTTTGATTATAAGAATTATTAAGTCAACTGTCTCTTATACCGGAAATACTTTTCAGTCTGTTACTGACATGTAATACTAACCTTTCTTTGGTTTATATTAAAAATGAGTATCTCAGTAGTGATAGCTGGAAATGGAGTATAAGTTTATATCAGACTTACAGAAAATCTCTCTTTGAACTTTTAATAACCTGTATCCCAATTGGGTTATATTTGTGTTTATTCTAGAACATGACCTTTGACCTGCCATCAGATGCCAAAGTAGTGCTCAACAGCAGCTCCTGTGGCAAAGAGAACACTTCTGACCCCAGCCTCGTGATCGCTTTTGGAAGAGGACAGACACTAACCCTCAATTTCACAAGAAATGCAACTCGTTACAGCGTCCAGCTCATGAGTTTTGTTTATAACTTGTCAGACACACACCTTTTCCCCAATGCAAGCTCCAAAGGTAAGAACCAAAGTGGGCCGATTATAAAGTGATAGAAAATTGGGTTGGAGGATTGTCTAAAGTTACTTTTACCTGAGAATTACAGGTTGGGTGTAGTGGCTCACACCTGTAATCCTAGTATTTTGGGAGGCTGAGGCAGACAGATCACTTGAGGTCAGGAGTTTGAGACCAGCCTGGCCAACATTGCAAAACACTGTCTCTACTAAAAATACTAAAATTAGCCAGGTGCGGTGGCAGGCACCTGTAATCCTAGCTACTCGGGAGGCTGAGGCAGGAGAATCGCTTGAACCCAGGAGGCAGGGGTTGCAGTGAGCCAAGATGGCGCCACTGCACTGCAGCCTGGGTGACCGAGTGAGACTCTCTCTAAAAAATTAAAAAACACGCAGCCAGGCATGGTAGCTCACGCCTGTAATCCCAGCACTTTGGGAGGCCGAGGCGGGCAGATCATGAGGTCAGGAGTTCGAGACCAGCCTGACTAACGTGGTGAAATCCCCTCTCTCCAAAAAGTTCAAAAATTAGCTGGGCGTGGTAGCGCGTGCCTGTAATCCCAACTACTCAAGAGGCTGAAGCAAGAGAATCACCTGAACGCAGAAGGCAGAGGTTGCAGTGAGCCGAGATCACGCCACTGCACTCCAGCCTGGGCGACAGGGCAAGACTCCGTCTCAAAAAAAATAAAAAACACATAAAATAAACTAAGTACGACAAGTGATTTTTCTTTTTAAATCTAGAAATCAAGACTGTGGAATCTGTAACTGACGTCAGGGCTAAAATAAAAAACACATAAACTAAGTACTAAAAGTGGTTTGCAATTGTGATTTTTTTTTTTTTTTTAAATCTAGAAATCAAGACTGTGGAATCTATAACTGACATCAGGGCAGATATAGATAAAAAATACAGATGTGTTAGTGGCACCCAGGTCCACATGAACAACGTGACCGTCACGCTCCACGATGCCACCATCCAGGCGTACCTTTCCAACAGCAGCTTCAGCAGGGAAGGTAGGACACTGACCCTTGGCCCTCTGGTGCTAGTGGGTGGGTAGTTGGGCTGCAGTGACTGTGGGTGACCTCACTCCTCTGTGTCCTGGCGCTGGGCTCTGCTTGGAAGGCGTGTGCACACGGCCAGGGACGTCTCTGCAGAACGTTCTCATCCTTCTTCCTAGGGCAGGTGACTTGTAGATGAGGGTGGACACATGTTGATTATAAAGGGTAGAAGATTGAAGTGAAATATCCCAGGACAGAGACAGATGTTGTGTGGTCTCCCTCCCAGGGGCGCTAAAGAAGTAGCACTCGGGGAGGTAGAGAGAATGGTGGTCACCAGGGGCTGGGGGGCGAAGTTGGTCAGAAGATAGAAAGTTTCAGGAAGGCAGGAGGAATTAGTTGGAGAGATCTGTTGTACAGCATGTGACTGCAGTTAATAATGTATTTTTAACTCTTCTCACCATAAAAAAGTGTTTGATTTTAGCTGTAGATGTATTTCAAAACATCCTGACACATGGTAAATACATACAATTATTACTTGAAAATGTCAGAAGGGCAAAGCAGTTGAAACCTTTGTGCTTCTGCTGGGGCAGAGATGATGGGATCAGGGTCACAGATCTCTCGCAGTGTGAGCCAGTTCTGCTGGGGCAGAGATGGTGGGATCAGGTCACAGATCTCTCGCAGTGTGAGCCAGTTGCCTTCACACAGGGACCTAGTCTCACCTCCATCCGGCTCTTGCCAGCCAGCTTAGGGACAGGTGCAGAAAGACCAGCACTGCCTCTCTGAGGAGGTCAGGGCCGCGATGATGCACCTGCTAACCCAGCCGCCGGGCTCTGGGGTCAGGCAGGGTCCAGGCCACCTTCTGGCCCTGTGATCTTGAGCAGAGTAGTTTACCTCTCATTTTCTTTGCATGTGGGATAAGATTAAAAGCCTGTCTTGGAAGATTGTTAGAATTAAAAGAGAAATGCATGCAAAGTGTGTATCTCAGCATCTGGCCCAGAGTTCAGTAGCAAACACCTGGTAAATCCTCTTACTGTTGAGGAGCTTCTCTCCTGAGCCTCACAGTCCAGGTCATAGGTTGTTGTCATTTTGCTGAAGTGTGAGAGCCTGTGATTTGCTTTAGGGTGGGCTTTCCCAGCTGATAGAAATATGTGTGGAGACATCCCTTAGGGTGGGCTTTCCTGGCTTCTAGAAATATATGGAGACATCACAGCCTTCTCTAGTCTTGAGAACTGCTGTGGAGACCTTTGGTTTGCAACATTCCTCAGCAGTCTTGCTTAAAGGCTGAGGAGTGACTGCTGGGCTCCAGGAGGCTCGTCCGTCTCCCGCTCCCCGAGGAGCAGGTACTCTTGCAGGTCGGCAGCCCCTGGTGCTGGGCCGGTCTTGCCCAACTCCAATTTCCATACAGCCCATGAGCTAAGAATGGCTTTTTGGTTTATAAATGTAACATAGCACAAATCAGAAAATGAGTATTTATTGACACACAAAGATTATTTAAAATTCAGTGTCCATAAATTAATTAAATTTTCTTGGAACGCAGCCACACTCACTTATTTACACATTATCTGTGGTTGCTTTTGTATGAACAGTGGCAGGGCTGTGTTGTCTTGACAGAGAGCCACAGCCCACAACGTCTAAAGTATTTACTGTCTCTTGCTTTATAGCAAACTTTGCCTCCCCTGATGAGTGGGTGAAAAGGAGCCCGACTGGGAAACCCCGGGTGTGACTGGGACCTGATGGGGCCACGTGGGCTCCCATAGGGGAGGCTTGGACGGAAACATGGGAAACCCCGGGTGTGACTGGGACCTGGTGGGGCTGTGTGGGCTCCCATAGGGGAGGCTTGGACGGAAACACACTTAGGAGCTGGGTCCTCTACAGGTGCTGCTGCCTTTAATCCTCAGCACAGGGCCCCGGGGGCCGTGGTGACAGCCCCTTTCCTGGTGCAGCCTCTGTTCACACGGAGCCTGGAGTCGTGTCTGCTTCATCGGGAAGAGCGGGCTAGAGTCCCCTCACATGGGCCGTGTGTGTCTGAGGACGGCCGTCTGGCAGCCTGTCCAGGTCACGGGCTGCGTGTGTCTGAGGACGGCCGTCTGGCAGCCTGTCCAGGTCACGGGCTGCGTGTGTCTGAGGACGGCCGTCTGGCAGCCTGTCCAGGTGTGTTCATGCTCTCAGACATGCAGAGCTAAAGATGACTTCAGCTAGGGCAGCACTCCCTACCGAGTGGGAGTTAAGAGTGACACATGGGGGTCGTGTTCCCGGTTATCGATTTCCAAATTATCTGGGCTCCACACCTAGCTGGCTGCCTCTGGGCTGCATCAGTGTGGCTTGAAGAGGAGAAGGAAAGGTATGCACTCTCTGTCAGAGCTTTTGGGAAGTGAGAGAGAATTGGGTGCTGACCTTGGTTGGGGACTCCCTATTGGCCAGGCCCGGACACGGTTGCAGAACGTGTCACATCCGCATGTGGCTCTGTGACCGAAGGGTGCGTGTCACGTGATGGCTCCCTTACTTCTGCCTGGAAGTGAGGGGCTGCTAGGTGAAGGTCAGCAAGGATGTTGAGCACCTGAGACGGGTGGCAGGATTCTCTAGACGAAAGACAAGGCTTCACAGGTCCGGAGAAGCTTGTTAGGTTCTTCTGAGAAACTGTTTCTTCAGGCTAATAATTAGTTTTAAGATAGACTAGTTTTGAGAGCAGTCTTAGGTTTCCGTGTATTCTCTGCTGCTGTGCATGTACAGCCTCCCACAGCCTCCCTCCGTGTCCAGATCCCGGACATTGGTTCCTTTTTTAATGGAGACCACGCATGTGATTCCAAGTGGAAAAGGCCCAACAGCCCAGCCCTGGCCACTTGCCCCTCCTGGAGGCAGCCGTTGTGGAGATGCCCGTGTGCTTGGGGTGGGGCCCCCTGGAGGCTGCTTCCAGCCTGGGTGGCGCTGGACCAGAAAGCCTCATTCATCTTGCTTTTTTTTTTTTTTGAGACAGAGTCTCGCTCTGTCGCCCAGGCTGGAGTGCAGTGGCGCAATCTCGGCTCACTGCAACCTTGGCCTCCTGGGTTCAAGCGATTCTCCTGCCTCAGCCTCTTGAGTAGCTGGGATTATGGGTGCACATCACCACGTCTGGCTAATTTTTGTATTTTTAGTAGGGGGGTCGTTTCATCATGTTGGCCAGGATGGTCTCGGACTCTGGACCTCCCAAACTGCTGGGATCACACATGTGAGCCACCGTGCCCGGCCTGTATTGCCTTTCAATACATCATCTTATCTAATAAAGCTCGGGGACCTCGTAGATTTTATTTTTAAAGGAAATGAAGCCAAGTTTTGTTTTTGTTTTTGTTTTTGTTTTTTTTGAGACGGAGTCTCGCTCTGCCACCCAGGCTGGAGTGCAGTGGCGCAATCTCGGCTCACTGCAAGCTCCGCCTCCTGGGTTCATGCCATTCTCCTGCCTCAGCCTCCCGAGTAACTGGGACTACAGGTGCCCGCCACCACGCCCAGCTAATTTTTTGTATTTTTAGTAGAGATGGGGTTTCACTGTGGTCTCGATCCCCTGACCTTGTGATCCGCCCGCCTTGGCCTCCCAAAGTGCTGGGATTACAGGCGTGAGCCACTGCGCCCGGCCGCATAAGCCAACTTTGAATGGACTTTCCTGTTGGTTTTGTACCTTCCTTCCTGAGCATCTTCAAAGTAGGGCAGATGTGGCTGGATGCGGTGGGTCACGCCTGTAATCCCAGCACTTTGGGAAGTCGAGGTGGGTGGATCACCTCAGGTCAGGAGTTTGAGACCAACCTGGCCAACATGGCGAAAACCCATCTCTACTAAAAATACAAAAATTAGCCTGGCGTGGTGGCAGGTGCCTGTAGTCCCACCTACTCAGGAGGCTGAGGCAGGAGAATCGCTTGAACCTGAGAGGTGGAGGTTGCAGTAAGCCTAGATCATGCCACTGCACTCCAGCCTGGGTGACAGAGTGAGACTCCATCTCAAACAAACAAACAAAAACAGGATAGATGACTGTCACTCCGGAGGGTCTGAGTACAGCTGTGCCTGAGGCTGGAGTCAGCCAGGGGTCTCTCCAAACCGGATTTCCAGCCCAGGCCCACATGGGGTTAGCAGATCTACGGTGAGGCCCAGCCAGGCTTCTGGGTTTAGAGTTCACCTGGAGGAGTGGGGTGTTGTCGTCTTTTATCCTCAGGGTCTGATAGGTGCACGCTTGTTGAATGAGTCAGAGGACTGCCTGACCCCTGTTAGGAGTTGGAAATAGAGGTCACCTTCATACACAGGTCACCATGTCTCACCTCCCACCCAATTTGGCGGCATTTTTTTTATTCCTAGGAACAGAGTCTGACTCTTAGCTTAAATAGAAGGAATCAATGGTAAAACACTGGAGGCGGAGGTTGCAGTGAGCTGAGATCGCGCCAGTGCACTCCAGCCTGGGTGGCAGAGCGAGTGAGACTCGTCTCAATAAAAAAGAAAGGAAAAAAAAGACCTACCATCAGAAAGGTGGGGAGGATGAGAGTCCTGCCTTAGGACAGGTGAAAGGGGCAGGAGAAGGTCAGAGGCCTGACACAGCCAACATTTTCACAGAAGACTGTAAGAGGGCTGTGGGGGGGGAGCTATGAGCCGGGAGCCTGGGTGCGAACCAGTCTCATCCTCACAGACCCCCTGAGGCTCTGAATTGCAGCCTCCAGGTTGGTGTGAGTATCTGCTGTTGCCAGGAGAGGAGGGGCCTTCAGAGCACATGAGCTTTGGAAAGGCCCGGCTAGTGCTGCTCTCCGGAGGGGGTTGGGGGAGGCGTGCAGTGGACCCCCAGGTCCTCAGGTCTCTGAGAGGCTCCTGTGCCACCGTCTCCCCCTGGGCAGCGCAGGGCGCTCTCCAGCGTGTTCTGTGACGAGCTCTGTCAGTATCCTCGTCCGAGAGGCTCCTGTGCCACCGTCTCCCCCTGGGCAGTGCAGGGCGCTCTCCAGCGTGTTCTGTGATGAGCTCTCTCTCCGTCAGTCCTCGGTGACGAGCTCTCCGTCCGTCAGTCCTCGTCCGCAGCAGGAAGGACTTGGGTATTAATAGTGTGAGTTCAGGGAAGGAGAGTGAGGGTTTTGCGTTTGTAATTCGGGTAGAAGGAAGAGGGCATTTTATCCACACTCATTTCTCAAGTTCCAATTTTTTAAACTGGTGGTTAGACCTGATGATGTGTTTCCAACTTCTCGTGACCACTCTACAGAAACAAGGGGGGAAATGAACGTGTTACGTGGATCACAGCTTAAAAATAATTGGCAGAGCAGCGTAGGTGACACTTTTTCTGTGTGTCGTGTGGCCATCTAGACTAGAATTTGGAGACTGGCCAGTTTTGATTGGGTTTTGCACATTTAACTTTTGCCTGTTTGACCGTGTTCTGTAATATTTTATAAAGGAACCGTGAAGCTGCTGTTTGTTTTTTGAGACAGGGTCTCCCAGGCCGGAGTGCAGTAGCACAGTAACTGCTCACCGCAGCCTCAGCCTCCAGGCCTTGTGGCCCTCCCGAGTCAGCCTTCTGAGGAGCTGGGACTCAGGCTCATGCCACCATGCCTGGCTAATTTTTTAGAAATACTTTGTGGAGATAGGGTCTTCCAGTGTTTCCAGGCTGGCCTTGAACTCCTGGGCTCAAGCAGTCCTCGTTCCTTGGCCTCTCAAAGCCTTGGAATTACAGACATGAGCCACCGTGCCCAGCAGGTGAAGCTGTTTTGGAAAGGACTAGTCGACCTGCAGCTTAGCCAAGGGCAGTGAGCGAGGTTCCCTGAGCACATCCCAGGTTGGGACGGCTCCGAGGGGCTGTCGGTGCCTCTCACTTCAGAGCTTCGTGTGGTTACTGCAGCTCTTCTCTGCCATCTTCTGCTCTGTCCAGAAGGGGCTTTTACACCGGGGTGCGGGGGACTCCTGCGTTGTGTGTCCCAGAACCTGTTGGGGTGCAGTCATAGGTGACATCTCCTGTCTCTTTCCTCCCCTGAGTAGATGGTGTGTGAAGGTCAAATTGGCCACTGACTGTTGAGATGGAAGCGGAAGCAACAAGTGACTGATGGAGTTATGGGGGCAGATCCCCCGCAGGGTTGCCCACCCTGGATATTTGGGGCTCATGCGTGCTGACTCAGCCTAGCAGAGTTGTGGAAAGGATCAAATTGGGTAGAAATTATGTAAATATTATTGAGTATCCACAGAAACAAGTGGTAAAAGAACCTGATTTCAAGGTTGATGGTGTGTTGGTGTGAGTGTTGGCCACAGAAGACTCAGTAGAGCTCTGCCGAGGGTTCAGTCTGCCTTGACTTTGAATATAAATTTGTGTTGTGAACGTCTTGGTGGGTCAGTTGCTGAGGGACAGAGTCACATTCAGACTGCTGTACGTTCCCTGGGGGTGCCATGTGGCCCCTCCACAGACTCCCTGGACTGTGCCCTCTTGTCCGGGGATTTCAGACACACCCACATTCAGTACCTTCTCCCTCGTGAGGATGCTTGCCCATCCCCCACAGCCACCTCCCCAGATGAAAACCCAACACAGCTGGCTAACCTTGCCCGCCTTTGAGTGTCTGCTCACACGTGGGGTCCTTGCGGAGGCTGCCTGACCCCTGTCCTGCCAGAGGGCCTCCTTGGCTGTGCTGCGTCCCACCTGGCTGGTCTGTGTGCGCTGCAAACCCTGTTTTCCTCTTGGTACTATTTCCAGCACGATCCTGGCACCGACCCGACAGCTCAGGGAGCAGTTTCTGAGTCGTCACCGTTTCCCATGGGGGGAGGTGGCTGGCCACGCAGCACAGCCTCCTGCGTCCACTCCTTCGTGACAGTGGTCAAGGCCTTCTCACCCTCACTTTAGGAAGAGGGTGGCACAGTGGACCCTGTCCAGCCACGGGGCGTGGCATGTGGTGGGCAGTGCCTGCTGCCCAGGCAGAACCTTTCTGGGTAGTGGGAGGTGGAGGCTGAGGGTGCCCCGGGGGCCTGTGCGAGCCATCTGCAGTCTGCAGGACCCGGCTCTGTCCTGTGCATGTAGAAAGGCACTAGCGAGAGCCACCTTGGGCGACGGAGAAACTAGTCACCAAGGACGCCAGAGCCCACAGGTGTAGTTTTGTTTCTGAGTTTGGATCTTACTGTAACTGCTGATGGTTATGAGAAACCCGGGCCTGGATCTCCCTCCACTGTACCTGCAGAGACGCGCTGTGAACAAGACAGGCCTTCCCCAACCACAGCGCCGCCTGCGCCACCCAGCCCCTCGCCCTCACCCGTGCCCGAGAGCCCCTCTGTGGACAAGTACAACGTGAGCGGCACCAACGGGACCTGCCTGCTGGCCAGCATGGGGCTGCAGCTGAACCTCACCTATGAGAGGAAGGACAACACGGTAGGCCTGGGCCTCGCCTGGGAGAGGGGGATGGTACAGCAGGGTGGGGCCTCTGCTCCCTGTGCACCGAGAGCATCTCCGCACGTCATGCTGTAAGGCAGGGTGGGAGCTCAGCTTGCAGGACGTGACCCTGCAGGACAAGAGCCGGCATCTGTGTCAGGGAGTCTGTTTTGTAGGAGCACAGCCGTCCTGCTGATTCCATCATCCAAGGCTGGTGTCCCAGCATGGCCTGTTGAGCAGTGTGGCCCATGGAGCCTAAAACATTCACTTGGCCCCTGATAGAACCTAAGGTTTCTTTACATATTTATCATGGAAACATTTAAGTGTTACATTTTTATAGTTTTCTTTTGAAATAGTTTTTCTCCCCTAATAGTGACGGGCTGTGGGGGTTGTGGGGGTCGATTTGCGTGCCATGGGGTGAGTTTGCAAGGCTGACTGCTGCGGGGGAGGTGGCGCTGCTGGGTGCCGTCCACGCGGGGACGCTGCACTCACGGCGGCAGGGAGAGTCTTCTTGGGACCCCGAAATCTGCACAGATCACCGAAATCTGTGTGGCCTTTCAGTGTTTTCCTTCTGATTTGGGTTAAGACAAATGTGGCCTTGAATTCACGGTTTCGGGACTGTGTGTCTTTTCGAGAGTGTGGAAGACCTGAGCCAGGTGCTGACCTGCTTGCTTGTCTTACGCAGACGGTGACAAGGCTTCTCAACATCAACCCCAACAAGACCTTGGCCAGCGGGAGCTGCGGCGCCCACCTGGTGACTCTGGAGCTGCACAGCGAGGGCAGCACCGTCCTGCTCTTCCAGTTCGGGATGGTGAGGCTGGGGCGGCGCCTCTGGGGGCACCCACTGTGTCTCCGCCACATCTTTTTGTGACCTGGGTCTGCTCATGGGAGGCAGCGTTAGGAAGGAGGTGGCCTCACTTTTTTCTGCCTTCCCTTTATCCTGGGCCTTTGAGTTCCTTGGTTCCCCTCCCCCTTCTCCATTCTGTTCACAGATGGAGCAGGTGATGTGGGCGGGGCTGCCGTGCCCACAGTTGGAGTGGCTGCAGGGGAGGGGATGCAGGATGAGGGTCTGCTGCACGGCCTCCTGGCCTCAGATGCTGCTGCCCTGTGGCTCTGTGATGGCATTTCTGCTTGGGTGGACGCCTGTGCAGTTAGCAACATAAGACATGAAGCATATAATTGTCACTTGTCAGTCTTTAAATGGCTGTGCAAATGAATTAACAGTTCAGTTTCTTATAATTTTAGCTTTCCAAATCATGCTTTCCTGTGCTGTGATAGCTCCTGCAGTCCCCGTTTTCCAGAGAATCTCACTCTCTCAAGAGGTGTAGAAGGACCAGCATGGGCAGCCCAGGGAGGCTCCGTTTCCGCAGATGATAAAACAAGTTAGCTGGGCGTAGTGGCGCACACCTGTGGTCCCAGCTACTTGGGAGGCTGAGGTGGGAGGATCGCTTGAGCCCAAGAGTTCAGGTTGCAATGGGCGGTGATCACTCCACTCCAGCCTGGGTAACAGAGCAAGACTCTCAGAAAAGGGTCTGGAAGGAACTAACTAAAATTTTCATTCCCCAGACACACAACGCCTTTTAGAGACAAGGTGCTCTGCAGTTTTGTTCTAATACTAGAAACGTAGGAAGTCAGCTTTATTACCAAATGACCGTTCAAGTTTGATGATAAATGTGTAATCTACTAAGTGGTTAAAGATCATCTTTCTGTGAATCTGCTCAGTGGTTAAAGATCATTTTTCTTTTTAAGAATGCAAGTTCTAGCCGGTTTTTCCTACAAGGAATCCAGTTGAATACAACTCTTCCTGACGCCAGAGGTGAGAACCCACCATCCCTGCGAGACCCGCCCCGGCGCCCAGGGTGTCCTGGAGTCATTAGACTTCTGTGTGTGTTGCAGACCCTGCCTTTAAAGCTGCCAACAGCTCCCTGAGAGCCCTGCAGGCCACCGTCGGCAACTCCTACAAGTGCAACGCCGAGGAGCACGTCCGCGTCACGAAGGCCTTTTCAGTCAACATATTCAAAGTGTGGGTCCAGGCTTTCAAGGTGGAAGGTGGCCAGTTTGGCTCTGGTGAGTGTCACCGAGGGCAGCTGTCGTGGGGTGTGGAGGACGCGCTTCAGACTCCGCCTGTGGACATATAGTTGCTTCTGTGTGGGCTGGGGCCATGCCTCTATTCCTCTGCAAGGAGCTGTTTCTTCTTCCCGGTCTGAGGAAGCTTCCCCTGCCTTAGCGAGGCCCAGTGTGTATCAGCTAGGAGCCCCTGGTACCATGTGAGAGTGAGGGATCTGGCCGGGCGCGGTGGCTCACGCCTGTAATCCCAGCACTTTGGGAGGCCGAGACGGGTGGATCACGAGGTCAGGAGATCGAGACCATCCTGGCTAACACGGTGAAACCCCGTCTCTACTAAAAAAAATATAAAAAACTAGCCGGGCGAGGTGGCAGGCGCCTGTGGTCCCAGCTACTCGGGAGGCTGAGGCAGGAGAATGGCGTAAACCCGGGAGGCGGAGCTTGCAGTGAGCTGAGATCCGGCCACTGCACTCCAGCCTGGGTGACACAGCGAGACTCCGTCTCAAAAAAAAAAAAAAGAGAGAGTGAGGGATCATTTTAAGAAACAGCGGTGGCACTTCTCCCATGAAAGTCAAATACAAAACTGTCATCTGATGTGCCCAGAGGCCCTGGACGCAGCACAACTGTCCGGCCACAGCCCGATTCCAGACGGGGAAGAAAGGTGTGTGGTTTCCTCGCTTGCAGAGAGCACCAGTCTCTGCAGCGGCTTCCCCAAGTGACAGTTCCAGCTGGACCTGGAACCTTCCGCCAGGGTTCCTCTTGCCTTTTGGCTGATGTGGAGGGTGGGTGGGGAGAGAGGCCTGTTTGCAGGCCCCCGTGTGAGCGCAGGCCTGACGCCATCCGTCTGTCTTGGCAGTGGAGGAGTGTCTGCTGGACGAGAACAACATGCTGATCCCCATCGCTGTGGGCGGCGCCCTGGCGGGGCTGGTCCTCATCGTCCTCATCGCCTACCTCGTCGGCAGGAAGAGGAGTCACGCCGGCTACCAGACGATCTAGCCCGGCAAGCAGGCACAGCAGCTGCAGGGGCCTCTGTTCCTTTCCCTGGGCTTAGGGTCCTGTCGAGGGGGAGGCACACTTTCTGGCAAACGTTTCTCAAATCTGCTTCATCCAATGTGAAGTTCATCTTGCAGCATTTACTATGCACAACAGAGTAACTATTGAAATGACGGTGTTAATTTTGCTAACTGGGTTAAATATTTTGCTAACTGGTTAAACATTAATATTTACCAAAGTAGAACTCTGAGGGTGGGAGTGCTGCTCTCTCGGAGGGAGGGTGGGAGTGCTGCTCTAAATTGGCACTGGCTCCACTATCATTTGACTTTAGGATTCTGGTGTTTGGTTTCTTCATTCTTTACTGCACTCAGATTTAAGCCTTACAAAGGGAAAGCCTCCGGCCGTCACATGTAGGACGCATGAAGGTCACTCGTCGTCAGGCTGACATGCTCACACATTACAACCGTAGAGAGGGAAAATCCTAAGACAGAGGAACTCCAGAGATGAGTGTCTGGAGCACTTCAGTTCAGCTTTAAAGGCCAGGACAGTCTGGCCACACGCGGCTGGCGGCCTCGTTCCAGTGGCGGCGTGTCCTTGGGCGTCTCATGCTCTGCGGCTCAAGGGCTGGCACTTTTTTAAATATAAAAATGGGTGTTATTTTTATTTTTTTTTGTAAAGTGATTTTCGGTCTTCTGTTGACATTCGGGGTGATCCTGTTCTGCGCTGTGTACAATGTGAGATAGGTGCTTCTCGTGATGTTTCGCCGCGGCTTGGGGATTGTACACAGGACCGGCTCACGTAATGCATTGCCTGTAACAATGTAATAAAAAGCCTCTTTCTTTTTTGTGTGGGCCTTGTCCTTTTGTCAGCTAAATGGGAGCTCATGAGAAGGACGTCAGGGAAATGGGGGTCGAGCGTGGTTTCAGTGCAGAGAGAAGGGTGTCAGGGAAACGGGGGGGTGAGGGTGGTCTCGGTGCAGAGAGAAGGGTGTCAGGGAAACGGGGGTGAGGGTGGTTTCAGTGCAGAGAGAAGGGTGTCAGGGAAACGGGGGTGAGGGTGGTCTCGGTGCCAGATGTAGGGAATGGTGTTGGAGTGGCCCGAGTTCCTGGCACAGTTGTCTGGTTCATTCATGTAAAAGAATTTTTAAATCATTAAAAGAATAACCTTTCATACATTGATACATGGTATAATATGCAGCCATAAAAAGGAATGAGATCATGTGCTTTGAAGGGACATGGATGGAGTTGGAGACCCTTATCCTCAGCAAACTAACACAGGAACAGAAAACCAAACACCACTTGTTCTCACTTATAAGTGGGAGCTTCTGATGAGAACACATGGACACAAGGCGGGGAACACCACACACTGGGGCCTATTGGGTTGGGGGCAGGGAGAGCATCAGGAAGAATAGCTAAGGGATGCTGGCTTCATACCTAGGTGACAGGATGATCTGTGCAGCAAATCACCATGGCACACATTTACCTGTGCAGCAAACCTGTTCACCCTCCATCTGTACCCAGACCTTCAAAGTTGAAGGGAAAAAAGGACCTTTCTAAAGAGAAATCACCTACTGCGTGCAAAACCTCACATGAACTGAGTGCTGAGCCACAGAAAGGAGTGGAATATTCACACTGCCGTTGGGGAGGCCTCAGTGACCACTGTGTTAATTTCCAGTCAGCTGAGAAACTGATTAGCATCCTTTATTAGATACAAAGCCACATCTCACATTTTATATATTATTGATATCTCAGGTAAAAAGTTTTCTTTAAAAAGTATGACTTCATAACTAATCAAAAGCTGGTAGAATGACCTGGTTTTAAACTGTTCTTTTAAAAAATTCACAACTACAGTGTAGTGATGTCAAGTATTTACAACACTAAAAAGGAAAGCAGTGAAAGCTGGTCCAGTGTCAACTCTGGAAAGGAGAATCGTTGTCTGTGCGGAGACGAGCAACGCAGGAGACGGGCACACTCACCCCTGTGCCAGCAGCCGGGCCCTGCAGCTCTCGCGCAGCTTGGCGACGGTGGCCATGGATAAGCTTCCAGGTTCTGAAAATATTTTCTGGAAGGCAAACAGTTAGTTTAAAAACAAACCCAACAACACATTTCTACCTTAGCTCTCCCAGACTGTGGCAGACAGATGGGCGGGCCTAGTGTGAGGTGAGGGAGGAGCCGCCCACGTCCCAGGGGTTCTGGGGTGACCCACAGATTGTCACCATCTCACTCCTGCCCTGGGGCCTACGACTGCAGCTCTGCTGCTCAAAAATGTTAAATGAATCAAGCAGTTGAAGAAAAGACCATCTGCTTCCTTTAGACTTTTTTTTTTTTTTTGGAGACAAGAGTCTTACTCTGTTGCCGAGGCTGGAGTGCAGTGGCGCAATCTCAGCTCACTGCAGCCTCCACCTCCCAGGTTCAAGTGATTCTCATGCCTCAGCCTCCCGAGTCACTGGGACTACACAGGCGTGAGCCACCACACATGACTAATTTTTGTATTTTTTAGTAGAGACGGGGTTTCATTGTGTTGGCCAGGCTGGTCTTGAACTCCTGACCTCAGGTGATCCACACACCTTGGCCTCCCAAAGTGCTAGGATAACAGGCATGAGCCACCGTGCCCAGCCAACATGGTCTTCTCTTCGATGAAGCCCCGGCTGCTGAAACACCGCCACGTTTGCCCTGCTGCACCCAGAGTGGCCCCGAGCCTCCACTCCCTCCCTCTCAGGACGCTACTGACTCTGCATTCCGGGCCTGAGCCTCTCCTAGCGTCTCAAGTCTCCTCAGAAGGCCTGTCGGGTGCAGTTCCCACGACCCCCTCATCAGGGCCTGAGTCTATACATCCTGCGCCAGGCCCAGGACCCAGTGGAGAGGCCGGGCCTCGGGAAGCCACACTTCTAGCACCACACACAACAGATGAGTACAGCCATTAGGACCAGGACCAGCATCCACAGTGCCAGGGCCGAGAAGACAGGGCTGCCGTAGACAGGAAAGCCCTCGGAGGCCAGGCACAGGGGGCAGACGCAGGACAGAGCTGGAGGCTCGTCCTGTGCCCTGTGCTCACTGGTGCCCGTCCTGTGCACCCTCCGGGTGGTCAGAGGAGCCCCCGGGCTGCAGGTGAGGTGGGGCCCCCTGGGAGAGGGGACGGAGCCACGTGCAGCCCTACAGACACTCACCTGCATAAACGTGTGACACTCCATCACGAAACTGCCTTTGGTTATCTGCTTAAACTTATCGCAAATGTCTGGAATGCTGGCGGCTTCCAAAATAAACTCCTGGTGCTGCTTAATTAAGGTCAGGGCCACCCGGAAGATAATCTTCGAGCCCTCGTTAAACAAACAGTCCCAGATCCGAAGCACTGTCTGCAGAGACACAGGAACCCGGCGTCACTCCCTGGCAGCCCACCCACCCCGGGGCCCGAGTGAGGCACTCACCTCCACGGGCAGGACGTCGACAAACAGGCAGATGAACCAGCGGGACACCACCAGCGTCCACAGCACGCCCAGCCGCTCCATCAGGGCCCCCACGGCCGGCAGCTTCGCCCGCACCAGCTCCCCGAGGACCTCCTGGTCGGTCTTCAGGCCCAGCATGGCCGGGCTGTAGTAATCTGCCAGGCAGCGGGGAGAAGAGATCCTGAGACACTCCTGTCACCTCCACAAGCCCCATTCCCCTCAGAGCCAGACGAAGATAACAGGGCCACCCCGGGAGGACCCCTCCCAGGAGGGAAGGACAAAGCTGGAGAGGAAGAGTCAGGCTGAGGCCTGCAGACACAGGTCTCGTGGGGAGCGATCCCCACAGCCAGGCCTTTCGGGACGTCCCTGAGGCTGGAGGGATAGGCTGGATGCCACCTGGCTGGGCATCAGTTAAAATCTGTAGGTGGAGGGCCAGGCGTGGTGGCTCATGCCTGTAATCCTAGCACTTTGGGAGGCCGAGGTGGGTGGATCACCTAAAGTCAGGAGTTCAAGACCAGCCTGGCTGACATAGCGAAAGCCTGTCTCTACTAAAATTACAAAAATTAGCCAGGCGCGGTGGCGGGCGCCTGTAACCCCAGCTACTCGGGAGGCTGAGGCAGGAGAATCACTTGAACCCGGGAGGTGGAGGTTGCAGTGAGTCGAGATCGCACCACTGCACTCCAGCCTGGGAGACAGAGCAAGACCCCGTCCAAAAAAAAAAAAAAAAAAATCTGCAGGTGGAAAACAGGGTCCCAGGGAGGTGCTGGCACCCCCGTGTTCCTAGCAGAACTATTTACAACAGCCAAGAGATGGAGGCAACCACATGTCCGTCGGCAAACAAGTAGACAAGCAACATGTGAATGTCCACACGATGGAATATTATTCAGCCTTAGAAAGGGAGGGAGTCAGGCCACAGCAGCGGGAGGGAGGGAGTGACGGGACCGAGATTCAGTCTAGGAAGATGAAACAGCTCTGGGGAGGGCGGCGGCAATGGTTACACAGCGAGGTGAGCGGCCCTTGTGCCACTCATGGGAAAAACGTGGGTAAGATGGTACATTCTATGTTCTGTGTATTTTACCACAATAGAAATAAAATGTACTCAGATAAATACTTCCAACAGCGTGCCCTTCTTTTGAATGGACATTTGTCTTACCAAAGCACTTTTGTGTTTCCTATGTAATTTTTTAACTTGTTCATGTAATGAGTTACAGTAAATTTTATTTTATTTTTTTGAGACAGAGTCTCGCTCTGTCACCCAGGCTGGAGTATAGTGGTGCCATCTTGGCTCACTGCAACCTCTCTGCCTCCTGAGTTCAAGCAATTCTCCTACCTCAGCCTCCTGAGTAGCTGGGACTCCAGGTGCTTGCCACCACGCCTGGCTAGTTTTTGTATTTTCAGTAGAGACAAAGTTTCACCATATTGGCCAGGCTGGTCTCGAACTCCTGACCTCATGATCTGCCTGCCTCAGCCTCCCAAAGTGCTGGGATTACAGGTGTGAGCCACTGCGCCCGGCCTGTTCTTGTTAATTTAATATCTTGATTAAAACAGAACCATCACAAATGCTGATGCAACATCACGGTCCTGTCACTGCTTTTCAGAGTAAGCACACAGTGAAGTCAGTTTAATTGTAAACACTAATGCTTCTGAAGGTGATTTAACCAGAGCCAATTCAGTGAGCAGGCACCAGGGATTAAAAATGCCTCCCTTTCATATCCTTGTTCTGCATCTGCCTCTGGGGTTCTGAGCGCTTTCCTCTTCTTTCACCTTCTTACCTGAGCACATCCCGCTCCAGCTGGGGACAGAGGAGCGAGGAACCATCAGTGCTCACCCTGGCTCTGCAGGTGGCCCCAGTCCCACAGGTGGCGTGGCAGGGGGCCCTAAGCGCTGGGCAGCAGGGGGTCTGCAGAGATGCACAGCCTGACCTTGGCCCCAGATACAGAGAAGCTTAGAGCAGCTTCCAAAAATAGAGGCACTGAACTCATTCCCTAAACTCCACCGGGCTGAGCCGGCCACCAAGGGGAGGATTAAATTAAAGCCGCAGCTGCTTTTCCTTCCTTGAATGTCAAGGGCAAGGCGGTTCCTCCCAGGCCCAGCCGGCTCAGCGGCCGCTCCCTGCAGAAGGGGCTCATCCCTCAGGCTGAGGCGCAGGCACTGATGTTCCCAACCTGGTCTTGCCCCCGTCCCCCCAAGGCTCCTTGTCCATCCTTCTAGGGACATCCACGCCTCTGCAAACCACCCAACACTGTGCATTCATCACCGAGGCTCTGGGACGGCGCCTGCCGGGCCAGGACGGGGCGGGGCACAGCTCTGACACTCCCCTACACACCCCTCAGGGTCTGCAGTCAGACATGGGCCGGGGCCACACAATGACGGTGACCACAGGCGTCTGCACGTGGCTGCGGCTTCCTCCTCTACTTGATTTCCACTCTGCAGATCGTCCTCCGTGAGCAGGTGTGAGTCCCAAGACCACGCTCTCACACGCACTCACAGGCCAGTTCACACTGGTGCTTCCAATTAGAACATAACAGGTGTGACTTGAAGACTCAATTTATTTTTTTGAGACGGTCTCACTCTGTTGCCCAAGCTGGAGTGCAGTGGTGCTATCACAGCTTACTGTAGCCTCAACCTCCTGGGTTCAAGTGATCCCCCCACGGCCTCCCGAGTAGCTGGGACCACAGGTGTGTGCCACCACAGCCAGCTAATTTTTTTTATTTTTTGTAGAGACAAGGTTTCACCATGTTGCCCAGGCTGGTCTGGAATTCCTGGGCTGCCAAAATATTAAATGGTTTGTGCAGCCTTCTATGAAGGGAGTTTCCATTCCCACGGTGTCTCCCTCTCCCTTTCCCTACCAGGAAAGACACACTGAAATCCGTATCTCAAACCTCACACGGCAGCCTGTGGACTCAATTGTCCCGGTTCCCTTCCCTGTCCAGAAGCCTGAAGGTGACAGGCTGCCCAGGATGGTGAACACGCCCGGGCTCCAGCCACACTTTGTGTCCCCCGATCCGGGTGCTCTCCAGGGTGTGCGTGACGCTCGTGTTAATCAACGTCTTTTTCTCACTCATTATTCAGTCTTCGGCCGGTCCCACGTACAGAGCCCAGCTGGGGGGCCTCAGGTGTGCAGGGGAAGACATTTCTTCTTCCCCGACCACCAACAGTTAAGGAAGGTATAATCCACGCATAACACACTCTGCAGTGCCACGGAGACATTGGGAGACAGCTAAAAAATTACTGCATTGGCCGGGAGCAGTGGCTCACACCTGTAAGCGTAGCACTTTGGGAGGCCAAGGCGGGCAGATCACCTGAGGTCAGAAGTTTGAGACCAGCCTGACCAACATGGTGAAACCCCGTCTCTACTAAAAATACAAAAATTAGCTGGACGTGGTGGCCGGTACCTGAAAGCCCAGCTACTCAGGAAGTTGAGCAGGAGAATTGCTTGGACCCGGGAGATGAAGGTTGCAGTGAGCTGAGATCGTGCCACTGCACTCCAGCCTGGGCGACAGAGTGAAACTCCATCTCAAAAATAAATAAACAAATAAAAATAAATTACTGCAAGATACGTGGAAATTCCCACCATGTGATGTCAAATGAGAAAGATGGGATGTGTGACTACACACAAAGCACTCTAGGTGTTTCTAAAACTACCATTCATTCGTTCATTCATGCGATAATCCGGGATGTGGCGATCCCTAAACACCTGTTACTAAGCGCTACACTGACTGCTGTAACAGGCACTTCCCAAGCACGGCCTCCTGGCCGCCAGCTCGGAGGCAGGTAAGGCGACAGGTAAGGCACAAGAACATAGAGCATCCCGTGTGCACAGAAAGACGACCCAGGCTTGCACTGAAAATATCATTTGTGGTGCCCACCCCCACTGATAGGGGTAGTGGGCGGTTCTGATCTTTATCTAGACTTCTCCCTCTTCTTCAGTATTAACACAATGGGAGTGACTTATAAAAGATAATCAAAACATGCTTACTACGTGAATAATGGCATCAATGCCAAGGAGAAAGCTGGGCGCCCAGGTGGGCAAAGGAAGCAGCTGATGCAAATGTGTGCATGGAAGCCCAGGTGTGCGCATGGAAACCCGGGTGTGTGCATGGAAACCCGGGTGCCTGGATGGAAACCCAGGTGCGTGGATGGAAACCCAAGTGTGTGCATGAAAACCCATGTATGTGCATGGAAGCCCAGGTGTGTGCATAGAAGCCAGTGTGTGCATAGAAGCCAGTGTGTACATGGAGGCCCAGGTGCATGGATGGAAGCCCAGGTATGTGCATGGAAACCCAGGTGTGTGGATGGAAACCCAGGTGTGTGCATGGAGGCCAGTGTGTGCACAGAAGCCCAGGTGCATGGATGGAAGCCCAGGTGCGTGCATGGAAACCCAGGTGTGTGCATGGAGGCCCAGGTGTGTGCATGGAGGCCCAGGTGCATGGATGGAAGCCCAGGTATGTGCATGGAAGCCCAGGTGCATGCATGGAGGCCCAGGTGTGTGCATGGAGGCCCAGGTGTGTGCATGGAGGCCCAGGTGTGTGCATGGAAACCCGGGTGTGTGCATAGAAACTGGTCGCAGCTCTCCTGTGAAGAAGCACCTGCCCAGCCCCAGCTTCCATCCAGACAGCAGGAATCCACCTCTTCCCAACAGACAGGGTCTCTGCTCCTCACCTGAGCCACAAGACTGACCACGGCGGAGACCAGGAGCACGACCTGGGGGTTGGGGGCGCAGGGGCAGCTGCTACCAGGTTAGCCCTGCCTCTGTGAGCTGTGGGGCCAGGGTACCAGGAGGCGCAGGCTGCAGCATGGGAGGCGGCCCAGGAGGAGATGCCGAGAAGGCACAGCAAGGACAGCCAGCGCGGGAGCCACCCAGGCGCCCACCCAGCAGCTGTGCACCCCCACCGCCCGAGCCAGCCTCTCTGCATGTCCTTGCTCGAGGAGGCTTCGGCGTGGCGTAGCCCTTACGGGGCATGAGCCTTCTCAGACAAAGCTCAGGTCACAGCAAGGAAGCTGCAAGGCTGGTTTTGCTATTTGGTTTACTTTTTTTTTTTTTATTTTTAGACAGAGTCTCGCTCTGTCACCGGCTGGAGTGCGGTGCGGATCTCAGCTCACTGCAGCTCGCCTCCCGGTTCACCCATCTCCTGCTCAGCTCCCGAGTAGCTGG